TTTAAAGGCCATCTTCCTGTTTTTTTTTTTTTTTTTCGTTTTTTAAGCAGGCGCTGGCCTATAATAAAAATAATAATATCACACTTTCAGATGCTCTGGTATAGGCTATAACATCATTAGACATTTCATTATCCATAACATAGGCTATATTTTGTCCTTGTATGCATGTCATTAAGACGAGAGTTAATGGGCCTTAAATTGGTCTATAAAACTGCACACGCTTTAAGCATACATGTCGCCTAGCGCCCTGACAAGAGACAGGTCCATGAGATGTCAGGCGCAGCCTGGGTCTCGTGGGACAGTAAATGTTGCCAAGCGTGAAGTATCAGGGGAGCTGGAGTAGCACTCCACTTCAAATTATAGTGCGTGCTAAGCATGTGAGGGGAAAATGCATAATAGACTCAGTGTATTGGTGAACTAACCGAGCAAGCACTGAAAATAAGCAGGAATCAAATCAAATGATTGATTGAATGAATTAGTCTAAGTAGTGGCCCAGGGCCCACACTCCAGCCCCCGTGGAGAGGCTGAAGAAACACTTGTTGCTCCAGTGTTCGCTCACACCTGCCTTGGGCGCACATCTCATCTGTGATCTGAGATTTATACCCAATGCACAAGAGAAAGTGCATGCGTAATTCTGTAAATCAGAGAAAAACTTGCGCTACATATGTTCACATAGTGTAAATAGTTCGATATGTTTCTTAATGAGAATAGAATAACATGGCGTATTCATTAGTAGGTCTAATTTGAAAACAGCTCTAAAAACCAGCTAGGCCTGTGTTATTGATAGCTTATCATCCACTGTGTGAACCTATTTGACCAACGCCTGTTTTGTCTGTAAATTAAGACAAGATCTCCTCAGTCCTTCCAATACTGCTTCCTGTGTAGGCTTATTGGGTAACAAGGTAGATATGAACATTTAATTATTGCATAGGCCCTCATTCGTATATCCTTAAACATCAGAGACACCAATCGCCTGGGTTGAATTCGTTCTCTCTGTCTGCCCAACATGACATGTCTGAACGAATGTAACTCATCAACCCACTTCGGTCCTGTCTCCGAAACCCTGCGCTCCCCAAAAACATATTGCAATAATCAGTCCAATTAGTGGAGGTCTAACAGAGAGCTTTCGGGTTAGCGGTGGGAGGTTGTCAAAATAGGGGGCGACTATTAGATGAAACGCGATCCCCATTCATCAGCATTGTAATAATCACCGCTCATGCCAGCCATGCGGGCCCAGCAAAGCTCTGATCAAAATGATCCGTGGAAACAAGAGGTTTATAAACACTGTCAAGGCGAGACGGGTACCTTGATTCGGCCTGTCACTGCCAGGTTCCTCCCGCCTGCAGTAGAAGCTTTGATCAGCACTTGTGACTGCGCAGTGGCCCAGCGGGCACTTTTCGCCTGCAAGGAATAAACGAATAGGCGCACCTTTAACCGCAAGGAGCACTACACCTGTGTAGGGCATTGCATTGCTATTGACAAGGAGTTGGAACAATATAGGCCTATTCTGTAATTGTAGGCCAGATTTATGTGTACGCCCAGTTGGCTCTTAGCGTTTTCTGTTCATGATCCCCAAAGGTCCTAGCAAACAGAATGGAGTATTGATTTGGGTTTTTGATTGGGTTTTGTGAAATTACTATTTTTAGTAGCATAGGCCTAATAGCTTAAACATTTTTTTTTACATAGGCCTACACAAAGGCCTATCTCAGAACAGAATTTCAAGTGAATTTCATTAAATATTATTTTATGCTAGAGCAATGGGCCTAGACCTGTATAGGCCTAAAGTCTATGTGGCCTATAGACAGGTTCATACATTTTCTCAACAGCCAAATAGCCTATTCATAAGCATTTATCAGACAGGGTGTAGAACATAGTGGGACAGACGACCATTGTCACGCTCATCACAAAAGTTATCATAAACGATCTGGGAGCTTTATGCCCGTAGTGGCTGGTCTGTCAAACAATGTTTGGGTGCTCATTTTAAACATGTGTGCTCGTTGCTTTTGCACCATGAAAACGTTTTCTTCAACCTCTCCTTTAGATTCGTTTTGAAGCACTATTTCGTGTCATTGATTTAAATTATAGGCAATTGGAAATTATAGCCTATTATGCACTGGTTATTTTGTTATTGAACATTTATTAAACATAATTTCATCGTGTGGCCTTGTATTTATATTGAGTGCCACAAATAATTGTAATAGATGTAGCCTATTATTATTATTATTATTATTATTATTATTATAAGTAGTATTAGTATTAGTATTAGTATTAGTATTAGTATTAATATTATTATTATTATTATTATTATTATTATTATTATTATTATTGTTAGTAGTACTATTAGTATTAGTATTATTATCACATTTCCCTATGTTATAATACATTTGTAAGTGGATGAAGACGAGGAAACTACTCAGAGGTGTATATAACTAATGCTCCATCTAATATCGTTAAATTGGGAATTTGTATACCTATCTGAATATTCATTTCAGCAGCCTTGTCCCCTGATGATTAGCATCAGTCAAGCTAATGCCTAAATACCACTCTGCAAACTGCAATACCACTCTGCAAACTGCAAACTGCGCTTCAGGCGAAATATGTCGAAAAAAGTCAATGTATTAAACACCTTTCCTTCTGTGAGTGAAAACATAACATGGAAACGGATAAGGGTCTTCTTACAAGATTATTAATCTCGGTGATAAAAAGGAAACTAGTTAGCGTGTGTTTTCATTCGGCGAAATTTGCCAACATATGATATAAAATACCGAGACGCATGTTAAAATGCATGATTTCATTTATGACTACAGTATGCATGCAATTTAACCTACAAGTGCATATGAGACATCCCACTGTCCTTTCACTAAAGACTGGTTTTCTTGCTATTGAGTGTCTTGGTTTACTTGGTCTGATTTAGAGCACAGTGGTCTGAATGAAGCTAGAGTAAAACTACAATATTAAAGAGAAATAGAGACGTAGGCCTATAGCCTAAATATTACCATACATATTGTTGTTGATCCTAAATATTACCATATATATTGTTGTTGGGCTTTTTGAGCCAGTATAACCTCACACTTTTGTATTTTAAATTTGCCATGCGTGCTTAAGGCAATACATCTTGAAATCTTAAAATAAGATAACCGATGAAAATGACCCTATATTCATCGTTGACAATAATGGCACTATTTCTATATTCAATGTAACGAATCTTGCGTGTTGACAAGACGAGCAGTCTACACTTTACCTCGAGACTTGTGGAGAGGCTCGGGCTGGCTGCACCCTTGCGGAGCAATAGGCTACGCTGTGATCACTGGCACTGCACCACAGGTTGGAGCAGCTCGAGTTCGCCTGGAAGAAGCAAGGCAACCGAGGTCCATTTTCATTGAAGGCACAACAACACAGAGCATAACTCTTTTTCATCTCTTGCCACATTTACAACCCTTTCCTATTATACTACAAGCGTTAGCGATTCAATAATTTCACACAACATATAATTTTGCTGAGCTTTCTTGTGGTCTGAGGTGTTATTAAGTTAACAGCAAAATCAGAAAGCTCTTCGGATCAAAGCTGAAACAGGTTTTTTGTGCTCTAATTTACAGAAAGCAGATAACTGAGACGCGTTTAAGATCTGTGGACGGAAAGAGACCTGGCCTAGTGTAATACTTTACTGGTGAGTGTAAATTGACTTAATGAAGAGGTCCCCCTGTGATGCAATAGAAATCTATCAGCTGATCAATTATCCACTCCACCGGTTAATGGATAATGACATATCCACAATAGGCAGCCTCACTCAGAACAATTATTTTTATCGGGAGTTTTTTTTAGAAGACATCATGAGTAGATCTATATTTAAAAACTATTAACATATATTTCTTAAATCCTATCATCTCCAAACTCATGATGTCTTCATTATCAAGCACGAGCTTTCGTTCCCCTCAGAAAGCCTTAGAGAGCGCGAGCTGTCCCCTCCTCTCTCTCCCAGACCAGTCTTTGCAGAATACACCTCTCTCAACCGTTTGTTTTATTATTCAGGCACCTTGTGAGTTTTCCCTAATGCTACAGTATTCCACATTGTACAGTTCCTGGTGGTGTGCCCACAAGATGCCTGCCTGCCTTGTTATTTTGTCATACCCTCATGTGCATTAAATAATGCATGGTTAATTACACCAGAGGTTGTCAATGCGAACATGATCTAGCAGGGGTTAAACTACGATTGGAAGGTGAGGGAACTGTCTTCAAATCTGGGCACTTTTCTATGACCAATCTTTAGCAGAAATCAATTTAATTCAACTGTCTCCCATTCCTGGAACACGTCCACAGCGGCACCAGTTTGCCCAAGTTATTCAACTTGAGGATATACTGTTTCTATAGACTTTTGTCACTGTGTCAAAACATGTCAAATAATACCACATATTTCGGGTAACAATTTGTATTGTTCCCCCAGCAATGTTTATTCACGCCTAGCCTATAGTTGAAATATAATTTCTATCCCATGATGTGCCAGGTGCATTGTGTAGGCCTACATAAAATTCCTTATTACAATGTAAGCATTAGATGGCACATCATTAATAAGCAGGAATAGTGGTGACTGTGTATACACTTGTGGATTGTGCATGGTTCCTGGTTATGGACATGAACATTGGGGTCCTGTGCGCGCACTTGCTACGCGCTTTGGCGCCATCCTCCCCAGAAAACAGGGATCACTGCTCCACAGCTTCTCGCTCTTTGGCTGCCTCGAATGTCTGTCAAACTCGGGAGAAAAATAAATGTACAGGAAAAATCTGGGCAATATTTCTATTGGTAGGCGAGCTTGGATAGAAAGGGACAATCAGTCAGTGGGGCCAGGGAGCCACCTCAAAGCATATCGGGTTACTTTGAATGACAGCGTAACCATGACAAATAATTTGACTAAAACTATTGTTTTATCCTCGCCATCCCCGGATCAGATATCCAACCAATCACAGTTCACATAATCGCTTTTCTTGCCAGCTTAGAATAATATTATTAAAACAAGCGAGCGAGCCTGGTCTTCAGGAGTAGGTTATGTTGAAACGAAATAGAAAAGGTAGAGACCGACTGTGGAAGGAGTAAACACTTTCTATCGGTGTACTTGATGGGAATGCTGTGCATTTTGTATGGCCATTCATGAATGGGACTTTAGTTTTTACATTTCGATTGGATTTTATATTTTGATACAGCCTACTTTTGGAGACCTTCATGGTCGTTCGTGGACGTACAGTGTAGGCTACTTGCATTAATGTCTTAGCCATAAAAGAGGACGTGGAAGTAGAGCAAAACATACCTGTTTATTAACTTGCAACCATGTCTATGCTTCCAACTTTTGGCTTTACGCAAGAGCAAGTTGCGTGCGTCTGCGAGGTCCTCCAACAAGGTGGAAACATCGAACGGCTCGGGCGCTTTTTGTGGTCTTTACCCGCGTGTGAGCACCTCCACAAAAATGAAAGTGTTCTCAAAGCCAAAGCTGTGGTCGCCTTTCACAGAGGAAATTTCAGAGAGCTTTATAAGATACTTGAGAGCCACCAATTTTCCCCTCACAACCACCCGAAGCTGCAGCAGCTGTGGCTCAAAGCACATTACATCGAGGCGGAGAAGCTCCGAGGCCGCCCTCTCGGGGCTGTGGGAAAGTACCGTGTCCGCAGAAAGTTCCCCCTGCCTCGGTCTATCTGGGATGGCGAGGAGACAAGTTACTGTTTCAAAGAGAAGAGCCGGAGCGTGCTCAGAGAATGGTACACGCATAACCCCTACCCTTCCCCGCGAGAGAAGAGGGAGCTCGCCGAGGGCACCGGGTTGACAACCACACAAGTCAGTAACTGGTTCAAAAACAGACGGCAAAGAGACCGCGCTGCAGAAGCTAAGGAAAGGTACGAGTAAGTAAATGTTTACTCGTTGTCTTATTGCTTATATTTTCAATGTTTATGTGTGCGTAAAAGTCTGGACGCTGACTTTACCTTGTATTATTTGTTAGGAAATACTGACTCCTACATTTTATCCTCTCATTTCAAATCAGGTTATTCTAAATTAAATAATATTTTATTTTAAGCTATCATTGATAATAATTATAACTTTGATAAACACAAGCAAACTAATATCATGCTATTATTATTTTACCATTTAACCTATCCATAGGGTTAAATGACGCATGCCTATAAATATGAACACTAGTTAAATTTAAAAGAAAACGTAAGGAATTATCCTTAAAGATATAGAGGACTTGAACGTGTACATGTAGGCCTGGGTTAGCTGTTTTGCACACAAAACAAAGTTCCTTGAATGCCAGGATGTTGATATTCTGCTAGAGGGTGGTAGTTATTTTGCTATTGCTTACTGAGCTGTTTGTACATTTCAAAGTTTCGAAATTATAGGCCTACTGTAAAGAGGACATTTAATGTCTTTAGTCATGTGTTCACTCAGAGGGTGTCTTCTTTCACCCGCTGGTGACTTATTCAAGCTGAAACCACTGCGTAAATCAGGCCTTCCCACTTTAAAACCATGAGTCATTGCGTTGCGACCGTGAATGTATGCCTAATACAGGTTTAGCAATAATTATGCATGTCATTTACGCCTGCCAGCTTGTGTGTATACAATTGAGGTTTGACATTATGCCTTCATACCCATATAAGCCCAAACTAACTGTCTAGACCAGTTTAGATATCATTGAAATGGCTCAACATTTTTTTCCTAACGTTGACATGCTGGACTACGGTAGTGACAAATGTCTATTCGTCCTCATTATGGCTATAGGGTAAGTGGTGTTTGATCAAATGTGTTTAGAAACGGCTAAATGCAATTCAGATTTCTAATAATAGTCTAATTATAGCAATAATATAATAACAGTTAAGTTATAAATATAATATAAATTACCTAGTGTGTGTGTGTGTGTGTGTGTGTGTGTGTGTGTGTGTGTGTGTTTGCGCTCGCTCTTAACGCTCTTGTGATGACTGCATTTAGTAGCCAGTTTGTATTATGCGGCCAAACAAAATCTGCACGATGAGACTAGATGACGCAAGAAAATCGAACACTGATCCTTGTTTCAGAAAGGCTTTGACACATGAATTTCACACATTGTTGTTTTAACAGCTGCATAGCCTTCTATAACTTCTTATAAAAAATACAACATAGGCCAATGACAGCAACGACATAACCTACACTGCTCATTTACCAGTTCCTTTTCATCCATAGGCCTGGAACGTGTATATTAAAATCTGTACTCCTACTAAATTCTTAATCTAACAGCTCAGGATAATTATGATGAGCCTATAGGCGTATGTGTCGTTTGCAGGCGAATGCATTTTTGTAAAGGCTACCTGACAATATGGGCTAATGTAGGCTACATTCTAATTTACCATATTATTCTATTTCCTTTTTACAGGGAAAACAACGAAAACTCCAACACCAACAGCCACAACACATTGACTTCTTCCATGAATGGAAATAAAACACTTTTGGGGAGCTCAGACGACGACAAAACGCTTTCAGGTACTCCGGATCACACTTCGTCGAGCGCGGCTATGCTCCTCGCTTCAAACTCAGGGCTGCAGATGCACGGCCTCGCGCCTCCACCTGGGCCTAGCGCCATCCTCGTGCCCAGCCATGACTCTGTGCACCATCATCACTCTTTGAACGACACTATACTGAACCCTATGTCGTCCAACCTGGTCGACCTCGGCTCTTAAACACGGGACCCTGTTGGGAAAGGGACTTTCTGAGAGCACGTGGATGTTTGAGAAAAGATTCAGGCACTTGAGGCAAATGGAAAGAACAGAGTCAGGAAAATGTGGCGCACGCGATGAGAGGTGAGATGGTAGGCGTTTAGCTGAACAGGCTGAGCTGAAAGGTATTTTACCGGAATGTAATAACATGTTATACTGTTGAAAACAATAACAATAAAATGTATTAATTCTTGTTACAATTATGTTATTATTTTAGGGGATACATACAGTGAGGGAAAAAAGTATTTGATCCCCTGCTGATTTTGTACGTTTGCCCACTGACAAAGAAATTATCAGTCTATAATTTTAATGGTAGGTTTATTTGAACAGTGAGAGACAGAATAACAACAAAAAACTCCAGAAAAGCGCATGTCAAAAATGTTATCAATTTATTTGCATTTTAATGAGGGAAATAAGTATTTGACGCCTCTGCAAAACATGACTTAGTACTTTGTGGCAAAACCCTTGTTGGTAATCACGGAGGTCAGACGTTTCTTGTAGTTGGCCACCAGGATTGCACACATCTCAGGAGGGATTTTGTCCCACTCCTCTTAGCAGATCTTCTCCAAGTCATTAAGGTTTCGAGGCTGACGTTTGGCAACTCGAACCTTCAGCTCCCTCCACAGATTTTCTATGCGATTAAGGTCTGGAGACTGGCTAGGCCACTCCGGGACCTTAATGTGCTTTTTCGTGAGCCACTCCTTTGTTGCCTTGGCCGTGTGTTTTGGGTCATTGTCATGCTGGAATACCCATCCACGACCCATTTTCAATGCCCCGGCTGAGGGAAGGAGGTTCTCACCCTAGATTTGACGGTACATGTGCTCCTAATCTCAGCTCGTTACCTGTATAAAAGACACCTGGGAGCCAGAAATCTTTCTGATTGAGAGGGGGTCAAGTACTTATTTCCCTCATTAAAAAGCAAATGAATTTAAAACATTTTTGACATGCGTTTTTCTGGATTTTTTTGTTGTTATTCTGTCTCTCACTGTTCAAATAAACCTACCATTAAAATTATAGACTGATCATTTCTTTGTCAGTGGGCAAACGTACAAAATCAGCAGGGGATCAAATACTTGTTTCCCTAACTGTATCAACAGATGCATAAACTCCAAGTAAGGTACCCCATGACCTTTTGTTTACACTTAGGTTTTCCAAGAGAGCCATATTCAGTTTGATTTTGTTTTGGGTTATCATCGGGAAGTGTTTTACTATCACGAGAGCCTTATGTGAACGATTACAGATTATCATCTTTTATTATTTGTTATTTTTAAATCATTTGGAAAGCGACTGCATGTCAACTCTGCGATTAATAAAAAAAACATAAACAAATCGATCCCACTATAGTTTTATATAAACCTTTACAATTAAAACGAAGAAAATGAGAAGTTGTTTAATTTATAATATTTCAGATTTTTTCTTTGAAACATGGCAATTCATTTTTATGGAATTTGTTTTTGCATATCACAGTATCCATTAAGAAATATTTAATATGATGGAAAACACCACTTGTGACGTTTTGCTAAATGCTTTAGAACTCACATTTAAAACTATTGTTGACCTTAATGTCAAGAGGTGCGTCAAGTATAGGAGGAGCCCGTGATTTGCGTCGATTAATTATTTCGGAAAAGGGGACAGAATGCCTAGCCTGAAAATAGATATGTGTTATGCCTCTGAGTTATGATTAGTCTATCAAGCAGGCTATGCCTATAGCCTGTAAACCGGATGCAAAGGCAGCGCAATATGACACCTGGTTGTTCTCTATTTTTCTTGCAATAGGCTAAGACTTGGGTCTATATCATTTCTCGAAATGTAATGTGACCAGACAAAATGTCAGTAGCCTACAAAGTCTTTGAAAACGTAAAAGCTTATTTGTCTATATAAGTTTAGTCAGTTTTTCTTGTCTTGTTATGTTCGAGTTTGAAGATGTATGATGAAGGTGTATGGCGCTTATGCTGCGTCTATACAGGCTGCCCAATTTTGATATTTTTCATGCTAATTGCTCTTTTGACCAATCACATCAGATCTTTTCACATCAGCTCTATAAGGCTTTATAGGTCCAGAACCCCAGTGTCCATGCGTATTACACTTTTACCGAGAAATGTGCTTTTTAGGTTTGGCCTAGGCCTAATATGGCTGTGCTGAGATTGCGTGACCCTCCCTCCGCCCGCCCCCTTCCAATATAGGCTAATGATGATGAAATCTCTACTGAAATCTATCATAACTGCAAAACAAGTGCAACACTTTTGCAACATACTTGTTATACAAATTGGACATTGTTCATTGTGCCCGTTAACTGCATACATGGACTGCTGTGTGTTCTAGGGCCTACAATTTATTGTTATTATATTTGTTCGGTCGTGAGTCCCGAAGAGAAAAAACGAGAAACAACTCCTCTCACGGTTCTGCACCATATACCATGGCTTTTGGTGCAGTGTAGAGTTTTTTTTTTTTTTTTTTTACAGTAGACTATTTTACAGTATGTCATATGTCTATGGAATAGAATGAAAGCATGAACCTGACTACGGCGGTCAGTCTATGTGGCATTATTTTAAAAACAGGACTGAAGAGTGCATTGGGTATTATCAAGAAAAGCTGACCGAAATGACGTAGACTATAACGGAGCTTGATGTTCAAGTGATGACACTTAATCTTTCCTCAAGCAGATGAGAACAAAAGTGCGTTGTTCACGGAGACAAACACAAAACTAGAAACATGTTGAAAGATGGCACTTTGTTTGAATAGCTTTTAGCCACCACCTCCCGTCAACCAATCTCTTCTACTTTCAAAGTCTTGTAGAATATTTCTAAAAACAACATTGACATATTCCCTTTTTGAGGAATTGTCGGTCTTCATTATTTATTTATTTTTGTCATTTAGCAGACGCTCTTATCCAGAGCGACTTACAGTTAGTGAATACATTTTTCATACTGGCCCCCCGTGGGAAAAGAACCCACAACCCTGGCGTTGCAAATGCCATGCTCTACCAGCTGAGTTACACCGGGCCTTACATAGTTGCATCTCTCTATTCAAATTGGATAGCTGGCGCGATTCTAAGTTTGAGATGCGTCGACCCAATTCCATGTTTTGAATATGATCTTTACAATAAAAAAAACTGATTTTGCACTGTGGCCTTGGACTATGTGAATTCAGATATAAGCAAGATGCTACTCAAGGTATGCATTTATATTGGCCTACTTTGCACAGCATTCGTAAAATTGTGGGTATAACCAAATGTTTTTCTTGAGTGGTAAACATCACACCTTGTTGGCTCATGGACCAAAAAGTCATTGACGTATTGTATAAGTATTCAGTCCTCTCTCTTTATAATTAGCAAACATTTTAATGGATACTCAAACCAAATACTTTGGTTCTCACAAAACATATATTTTAATTCCTGGGAAGTGCACGGTTCTGCTTTTGACTTTCTCTCTCTTTCTCCAACAGCTAAAATCCGAATTTTAACTAGCTTGTATGAGTGCAGCATGTGTGCCTAAAGAGGAGCGGGAAGGTTGTTAAACTTTTGGGCATAAGATGTTACAAAACTCTGTCGGCATTAACAAGAACCTTTGGTTATAAATGCAATGCAATATGTTGGTTTAATGCTGGAAAGACGGTTTATGGGAAAATGACTCAACAACTGCAACAACAAAAAGTAATGGAAACTAACTAAACAATAGTGCATTTTTGCACTGCATTCCACAGTCTCTCTCTCTCTCTCGAATTTTACAAAGTGGCTAAATACGTGGCAGGTGTAATTTCAGTGGTAATATCCAATTTGCTCAGTGGTATTATATTGACTGTAACAATTGTTGCTGACTTTAGGCTCCGGTGCAGATAACAGCCTTCCAGTACTTGTAATTGTACAAGTATAGACAATTAATTCTTAGAACAATATACCCATGGACTTGCGCAATGTTTTCGACATGTAAACAAGTGTCCAGTAGACAGAAAGCAGAATAGGTCACTTGAGCCTTCCCCAAATAAGCCGATTAATAAATCCTAAATCAATGAGAAACCTAATAACCATGTGTTCTAAGCATATAATTAATTTTCATTTCAAGGCTGAATCTTAACTTGAGATGTGCACGTACAACTTCCGCACATATCTTTCACCGACACCAACGCATGCTTTACACAATGTAATATTTATGCACGGGTTTTCTCAATGCACCCCTTTGCCAATATTGTATAACAGTATGGGGTATATACAAAGTGAGACCATTCTATTTCCATTAAAAAATCCATCTATTTGACACACAAATATTTTTTTGAAATGGGTCACGGGCATCACCAGATCCAGAAGCGAATGCCTTTTTAAGCAAATGGAGACCTCTCTCACCCAGGCACTGGAGCAGCCTGCTGTTAGACCATACAGCATGTAATTCATTGTGTGGGCCCTTACACTTTAACTATGGGTTTCGCTTGACCTTTATACTGGAACTCATTGGAATATTTGATTAGTCTGTAGGCATAAATCTTCTGTTCATACCCATGCGTCAGATTACGCACATGTAGGACTGACTTACATTTGCATTGTTCTATAATTAATTTGTCAAATATTACTATATATATAGTATATGTCAGATAGGTATTTAAATGCAAGATTGTATTCAATTGAAATGTAATTCTAGACAATATCATTCGCCTAATAATATTATTTATTTATTGTGTTGCTTGTCAAGATTTTGGGCTGTGATTGTTGTCATGGCTTTAAATTCTTTGTGATTTAATCTGATAAGGTTTTCCTGATAACATTTCGATTTTAGCAAACTATGAATAACAAACTAAGGACCATATTTTTATATTCAAAGCTATTGTTTTCTAAAAGCCATTTAGATATATATTTTTAAATTATACAATTCAACGAATGTAGGCTATTGTTATGCGATTGGGCAAGTCTCCTAACCAAGCAACATGTTCAATGAAAACCTTTGCGGACATGTTGACATAATACCCATAGCTAG